GGAAAGGTTGCATGCCCCATGTACATGGTGTGTTGCATATGCCAAGGGCACAAACTCTCACGTGCACACTTCGTGCACTTTAGCACTAAGCTTTTTCACCAAACCGACTGTTAAGATTTCTCAACAGGAGAACCGGATTGTTGAGCAAATTGGATCAACAAGGGGGCAGATTTTGTCGCAGAGCACGTGCATCAGTCCAGTGCAGCAGACGGAAATCGGTTGCAAGCAATAGTACTAAACGATAATGAGAGTGGTAGTTTCTGCTTATGTCTCTGATTGAGGATCCGCGACGGATTTCGAAACGTCAAGCGAATAAAATTCTTGTTCCGGCGGTCACATCTTCTTCTGCTGCTCAGAGTAGTCAAAGGGTTACCTTTAAGTAAAACACAGGCACTATCATCAAAGTAAACTAATTTTTTCCAGTGATAACGACCGCAACAAGAAGAGGTATTAGTGTCAGACCACGAATATGTGCGGTTTCGTGTCTGTGTTATGCACGTTGGCCTATCCAAAGGGCAGTGGAGTGACGGCCTAGCTCTGCTGATTTTACCCCATCTGATTTCTTACCCTGTGTAATGCAGGATTTGCGAGGATTGACCAGGAACAACGGAAGCAGGCTATCGTCCAAAAGTACAGGCTAGCTAAAAGAACACTACATTGCGTTGGACAAATCTATGCGAGAGGGGCGTTTATACGGAGGAGTGAGGTGGGTGCTACGCACTATTCTAATAATGGCGTACGCCGTTCAGAAACTTGTTGTTGGCAGTAAGGTGGCGCCAAATACTAAAGTCGGAATTACTTGCGTAGGAAATGTTCCAAAATCCGGAGGGTACCGGTGTGACAATGATTACCTGAATTACGTCCATAGCAGAGCTTATCAGTACTACATCAAACATCGGGCTGCAGGCCTGTATATGTGAGAAATACCGTACTACGCATTACATCATTTATTTTCATGGTATTCGGCTATTCGTTGATTTCATACGTACTGTATTCAAATTTATAATCATAATAATAACAGATAAGTAAACGATGCACACAATGTCAGCAATACTAGAACCAATATTGTCCCTGGTTCATAGTTCATCCCAGCTTATGAGGGTTGTTCATCGATCCGGGTTAGACGTGGAACGACTCGCTCATAATGGTTAATAGTACTGATCGTAACTGACATGACAGCAGGCCAGTAACTCTATCATAGAGCTGGCTTCAAATGTTGACTTACACAAGCCTGAAATTGGGCCCAGGCTGGCTGACTGTGTCCAATAAACCATACACAACCATTCCAACCTGCTATCTTGGCGGCATTTGACTTGTGTAGTCCATTCCACCGCATTTCGTTCCTCTGTTATTAGCGCCCGTCCTTTTTCTAGTCCCTCCTGGTAAGCAAGGCACCACCAGCCGGTTAATTGCTTTCTTATCGACTCAAATCGCAACGCCTCGGCGCTCTATTTAACCACACTCAGTGGTCTGATTAAATAGGGGGCATTTTCTGAGGGTCGAGCGCTTAAACGAGCAAGTGCGCATTATTTACGCGCACGCTCAGCGCATGTGACGAAGAAAATTACCCAACTGAAAGAGGTAATTATGTCAACCCGTCGGTCTTTATTCCCCATCGTCTTCCTCACTTGGGGCTTGCGAGTTGTCGAGTACTATTGGGAAGTCTCCGGGTTCATACTGCTTCCGTTTAAGTAAAAGTCACGGCTATTATAAAACAAGATTATTTTAGTTCTACTTTACTTATACAAGATAAAATGCATAATACCTAAAACATACAGTATATACAAAAGCTATGGTAGGGAAAAATGGTTCACAAAACGTAGAAGTAATAAAAACATTAAAAAAATAACGAAAGTAATAAAAGCTATGTGTTTACGCTTTAGCTAAATTCGTAACAAAGCTTGGAGATGCAGTAAGCTGGCAAACAAATTGAACAGGATTCGTGCTACCTTACTCGAAATGTCTGCCAGCATAAAATTATATAGGCACATCTGGAGAGAACTACCCTGAGCGACTTCTATGCAAGGATATACACCGGGAATCGCGAAAACCTCGGTTCTGAAAACCGTTAGCAGCTTATTGATTAACACGAAAAAAACTGCTTCGATAAACGAAAACTAAAAGGACAATGTTAACATAACAAGAGAAACAGTTGAAACAAAGATCTAAAAATGTCGGCGCCATTTCCTCAAAGCTGAGATCAAAACGCAAGATTGGAATAAATTTTTCCAATTTATGACACAGAAGAAGATGCCACGTGTTTAACTATCAGCTGGCTCTTTCCGGAGAAATTCGCGATATTGTACACCAAGACGCCGCAAAAGCTAAATTCCCCGAAAAAGCAACAATGCTCGTCTAGAAGCAACCACTAGTACACCACGATGGTTTGCGAAGTTTGACGCATACCGAGAAAGACGGAGTCGGTCCTAAAAAACTGAGGAAGGAATTATGATTTTCTAGTTTTCTCTGTCTAGGGCCTCGAAGTCTAAGTCGGATACAATGGGGTGACTCAAAGGATAACAACACTCCAAAATGTAGGAGGCCAAATGACATGCAGGTCAGCGAAACTAATAAAAAAACCAAACGCAGATTTCTCTAGCTGATGTTTCTTCGCAATGTGTGCACAGAGTACTTGTAGTAAGGTTAAGTGACGAGGTGGTTCCGATTGATCTAGTTGACCTCGAGATTGTCGCAGATCGTACTTCTCTACAGGAGATAATGTGCGACAATGGATCTGAAGAGCTCGGTTCACTTCCTCCTAAAGGTTTACAGCGAACACTTGGGGAGTTTAAACCAGCACTTTTTCTTGATGGACTGTTTTGAGTCAGGTTTCTCTGTGATCTTCACCTACCTATCCCCAGTTAGGTAGCAGTGTCGAATCATGAGCAGAAACTCTAAACTAATGAGACAGAGAACGTGCCCAACCCCCCACACTAACCCCTTGCACACAATTTCTTGATTTCGTCACATCGAGTGCGGTTTCATTTGAGACTAACTTATCTTCAGTAAATTTAGTTAAATAAGACACTTTTTCGGTACAAATTGTAGTAGTATTTGAGTATGTTTATGAATACTGATGTCAAGGATGGTTCTCACTCAACGACGGCCAAATATCTTCAGTAGTTGGTATTTTTCACGCACACAGCCCAGCAATAACAAAACCACGGGAGATGGATCTAAGGGATGCTTGATACACGCGGATCTTCGTGGCAACAGGTGTCGCACTGGACATACGGATACTCTGAGTTTTGCTAAAACCCCTCCGGCAACCATTTATTTAAAGGAATGGCATCTCCCGGTCAAAAACGTGACTGGAAAAGGTTTTGGCTGTCCCAGTATTTATGGATGAGCCGACTGATATAGTGACTTCACTTTATGGCAACACTATTTTATTCCCCATGTCATGTACTGGCCTGACGATGAATGACCGAAAACGAT